AAAGTCAGTTTTTGGCGTGAGTTTGTTTAAAAAAGTTGTCAGCAGTCGTTTTCTCCCTTTGAGTGTCGTATATCTCTCTCCTGAGATAGCGATTATCTTCCATATCCCCTTTCACATTCTCCCAACATCGCTCCTGGTCACCCTCGATTGCTGCAGCCACCCCCAAACAGCCACCGTCGCTATTTTCACAGTGGTTCTTCAAATTTCGACCACATCACCGTCGCTATTTTCACAGTGGTTCTTCAAATTTCAACCACATGTCCCTGTTTTCGTCGCCCCAAACAGTCGTCCTCTTGCTATCCTGCAGTCCTATGCATCCCCCATTGTTGTCGCCGACATTCCCCCTAGCGACCACCACTCGAAACAGCGTCTATTTACTGTTCAACTGCAGCTTCAGCCGTCTAGCCACCTACTTCACTCCTTCCAGCTCGCTACCATTGCTGCAACTCCTCACTTTCATTGTTGTCGTCCTCTCTTGTTGTCGCAGCGATAACAGTCGCTCTCAACCACTTCTTCGTCATCCATCGCCCTCTTTCCTGCTGCCACTACCTAGGATAGCAACCGAACCTACGGTTCGTGCAACTTCGCATTTAACCTCACAGTTACTCACACAACTTTGTTGTCGCCACGTCTTCCAGCCCTTTCCCCCACCCATTGCTCTCTCTTTAGAGGAACAAGCCCTATCCACCACCCCAAGATACACCTTAGTTTGAGTGTTTGTGTCGTATCTGTTGCTGTTTCAATTTTTTGGGTGTCATGTTGTATTTTCTCTTTAAAGTATGTTGGTTGTAATAGACTATTTGCTTTCTGTAATAATAATTACTTTTTTTATTGTGATTTGGATTAACTTCGGCATCATTTGGTATCAGAACTAAGTAATCATAGTCCTAATCTAAAGTTTTTAGCATCCACCAATACTCAATCTCGACCTACACACAAAAATCATTTCCTTTGTTGATTTTGCAAACCAACATGTTGTATTTTCTCTTTAAAGTATGTTGGTTGTAATAGACTATTTGCTTTCTGTAATAATAATTACTTTTTTTATTGTGATTTGGATTAACTTCGGCATCATTTGGTATCAGAACTAAGTAATCATAGTCTTAATCTAAAGTTTTTAGCATCCACCAATACTCAATCTCGACCTACACACAAAAATCATTTCCTTTGTTGATTTTGCAAACCAACTGCCCAAAATTTTTCTTTCACAACTCTACATCACCCTGTACGATCTCTTCTGCCTACCCAAACCCCAAAACCCTGGCCACGCCACCAAGAAGATAATTTTTGAAAGCCTGATCAGAAGGAAATTACATAATGCCACTTATAAAAATCCATAAAGAGATATCCAAGAATGTTATCGAAGTCCTCCAACTACAACGAAGGATCGCCACCGCCAAAACAAGACCATCAAGGGGGGTCACACAAACTTCATTCGATTTCATAGATTAAGAACAGCAACATTGAAAATTTAGCAATGAATATTGGAGCAGCCGAAGTTTTGAAGTAAAAATGAACTTGTCATATTTTGTCGGTATCAGAACGAGTTCGTCAAGTGGCTCTAGAAATTAGAACGTGTATTCGAGTACCAAGATGTCCCATCAGATGGAATGATTAAACTAGCAGCAGGCAAGTTAAGGAATAGTGTGTCATTTTGGTGGGATAGCCTAAAAATTCTTCGATAGCATGAAGGAAAAAATAAAATTACTACTTGCTCTAAGATGGAACGAGAGATGCAGGATCAATACCTATCAATTCTTTACATATATGATATTCAAAATTTGGCTTCAAAAGTAGAGAGACAATCTCACCGGGTGACAGTCGCATCTCACAGATAGAGTTCAACCCCAGAATCAAGCAACAAGAGAATACCCAACAAAGCATCCAAACTAACCCCACCAAAGGAGACACTAGTCAAGAGTACGTAACAAGTGAAATCAATCCGTAATCTCAAATTTTTCCCAGCCTGAAAGTGTTTCAAGTGTCCCGAATTTGAGAATATTAAATCAAATAGCACAATCAGGAAAATGATCTCTTTCACTGATCAGTGCGCAATTAAAGAAATAAATAATGATCAAGGAGAAGAAGATTTCAAAGAGGATTCTCGACTTTCAACTTACGCGGAAGAGTCAACGATTCCAGCCAATCCCATTAGAACTCCAGCCTAATTAATAATATTTGTTCTAAAGGATAGTAAGTCGGAGGACTCGATACATGAAAAGGGACAACCCCTATTGATGAATTGTCAGATATCTTGACCGACAGGACACCTATTAGGTGGTTGTCACTGAAAGTGGTTCAACATATCAAAAATAAGAAGCTTGTTACTTACTTCTGGAAGGTTATATAGAGGTGTTCAGATATTAAATTCAATTCAACAGTATACCCACCAACATATGGCCACAAAAGAAGGATGATCTATATTGTTGGAAACTACCTAAGGAGCTTCGTGGAAAATAAAATCCTACAATGGGATCCAGATTCTACTAAAGAAAAAGAGGTCTCACAAGAGTGGTTGCTAGTAAGAGTTGTTCAACCTGTCATAGATTTCATCCTAGAGTTGAATCCTCGTTACACGCATATTTATCAAATACGGCCAACGGAGCGCGAGCAGTTGGAAACAGTTTACAAATGTGATGGCTAGAGACCTGATTGTTGAGAATGATCGTCTATCCATGATGTTAGCTTGGGTTGTGTTAAGAGAGAATGGATACTTATTCTATCAGAACGTGTTTTTGAATGATAATGCCTAAGCTATTGACTTACCTGAATGTTGCAGTAGTGATGCTACTTTCAACGTGCCTAGCCTAACATCATATCATGAGAAGTCAAAAGCTTTTGACAAATGAGATCGAAGCTTTACCAACCCGATAGACTTACGTGTGAAGATGCCCCTGTGTTTCGCAGAATCGCGAAAGGCATATGGGAGACAAGAGATGGGCCTCACTAAATGATGGATTTAATTATCATCAACCTAAAATTAAAAAGGTCTCCATGGATTAAACATTTATCCCATGATTACATAACGAAAAAAGATCTATGCACAAAGAGATGCTAGCTATAAAAAAACATGTCAACTAAAAGATGCAAACTACCTAAATTTGGAAAGAAATACCATATGAAGCTATATATACCCGTAAGATTAGCTTTTTCCCCTTTTGTTGAATGCTTAGGAAGAGAGCATGCAAAACCTACTTGCGGGGGAGAGGAAGACAAAACATTAATGACATACCACAAAAGAAGAGCTAAAATTCCAATTTTATGTTGAAATGTGAGGTCAAAGGTAGAAAATCTCTAATGGATGTGCTATTTCTTGAGATGCATGCCTTATCCTCCAGCAATAAATGAGTGCCACATAACTAGTCTAATACAAAAACATTGATCGCCGAACACGTCATTCCCAAAGCAATCACAAAATTGTTGCTGCTAATAATGGATTTCAAATAATTGCATAATCATTGACACTTCATTGGAGAATGGCAAGCCCGCATTTACTAAAATCTGATTCTCTCCTTGCTGAATTAAAAAGCATGAGTTCAACATGATAATGGATGAAGAGTACAAAACCATCCTACCAAAGGATGGGGTTTAGATCTTCAAATTAAAATTTAATTCAGCTTATATAACTAGAGGAATTTAAATTATTACTTAGAAAATGATGAAAAAAAAACATTGGAAATCATAGTTTATGTAGAGTCAATATAGTTTCTAAAAGGCTAAATCAGGAAAGATTAGGATAGAAGATAAAGTTGTTCATAAGTAGAGGTTACAACTTTAATTGACTTTTAACAAGCTAAAACTGTGATTCCAATCTCCAAAAAAATTTAGCACACAAGTATAAAGAAGAAGAGAATATGTAACTGAGAATGATACTGAAACAACAAAAAGAGTGTTGCTTGTAACTGTACTTAATTGTCGTGGCAGCATTCCAGTCCTTGGAAGTCCTCCAAGGATAAACACCACCTAAATTGAAGAAGCCCTCCCCTCCAATAAAGAAAGCACACAAGCATAATAATAAGTGAAGTAAAAAAAAATTACATTTCCTCAACCAATTCGTTAAGCTTAAAGAACTACAAAGGACTCATATGTATAACCTAAAGGACATAATACCAACAAACATCGTTTAAAGCCAAAGGGATGAAATCAAAATCGGGTTAGAGCCTCCTCACCACAACTTGTCATCCACAATTGCAGATGATATGACAGCATAGGATTCGCTTCGTGGCCTGATGGCTCTTGGCTCATCCTCCCATCAACAATAGCAAATTCTATCCACTCCCATTCTAATTGGCTCATCTCACAAGAATGACAAAGATTGATGCTCTCATTCAATGATATCAATCTTCTTGAGAAGTCCCCCAAAGTTCTTCGCATCTACATGGAACCCCTCAAATCATCATCCTCCCATCACCAAGTAAAAAAATTAGTAGGTCAAAGGTGTTACTAACATGATATCCATCCCACCTCTCATTGTTAGACATTTTGTCTCTCTAATATCTCTTTCTTATAAATAATAAAGAACACATAATTCTTGTCGGTTGGCCACTTCTAATGCACCTCCATTACTCTCCTCCTAGAAGCTTAAACAACAACTTTGCTCTTTCAACTCCATCTCACTCACTTTTCCTTCCTTCAGGGAAAACCATATACAAACCATTCCGATTCTAGGTTAACCCCAAATTGTACATTAAAAATATATGACAAGCAATTTCAATGCACTAAAAAGTTAAAAGCATATCTGAAGCAAAAAAAAGTAACATTCAAAGAGAAAAAAGAAATATAAAATTGTTCAAAACCATGTAAAGTAATGTTGTATTAGACCATTAAATGCACAAATAACCTCATCACACATTTGACCCAGAGAATCTGTTAGCATGAAAAAATGGTATGCTTGATCTACCCAGAAAGATAGCTAGATCAAAAGGCAATAGCATCAAGAAGGTGGCATTCACAAATCTCCAACAAATATAAAGTCAAAAAGCTAACCTGAGAGTACATACCTGATAAAGTAAATCACCATTACTGACAGCTACGTAATTAGAACTAACGGTAAATTCTAGGTCAAACCTAAACACAATAACAAAATGTTTATCAACATCATATAGTACACGAGAAAAATGGCCAAGTTTTGTATAACTTGATGTAAGTAAACTTACAAGCAATGTTGTGAAAATGAATACATGCAAGGGAACCAGCAATGGACGCGTCTTATCTGATTATCAGTATGAAGAATATGTTCCCCAAAATGGATTCCAGTTTCTGTCTGATCTAACCAGTAATCTATACAAATTATCTTCACATCCTGCAATGTCAAACAGCATACTAAACAAAAAATCCTGTGGAAGCTTCCTCAAAATCACATTTTGAAATAATTCAAGTTAACAAATGCAAATGACCTACTAAAGTAACCTTATGCTCTCGATGCTCATTGCAACCATTAACAACCTGCTCTGAACCTGAATTCTGAATAATATTTTCTGGACCAGTCTGTCTCAGATTGCTTTGCGGCTCTTTTGATTTATTGCAGCATGTAATAATCAGATTTGGAGATGTTTCTCTGATCAGAAAAGAAATATAGCTTGAGCATGCAACATCAGCAGCTGACTTTGAGCAAGTTACCGAGCACCAACTGCTCTCATCGACAAACTGATAATGAGGAAAGCGTTCAAATTCAGCATCTTTCCCGTCTACAGTTATTTTGCTGATTACCATGTTCTCTGCATGTAAAGCAATGTCGCCACTTTCTGGGACAACTACTTTCATTTCAGTGTGCCTTGTAAAAAACAAAAAAAAAATACTCTGTAAGACAAATGCTAAGAAATCTACTTAAGGCATATGCAAACAGTCAATATCTTTCTTGCAAACGAACTACCTAATTGTCCTCTTAACTAAACCAAGAGCAAGCACAATATAGAATGAATAATTGAAAAACTACTAGTATTTGACCGACAAATAAGTTGAATAAAACAGAAAAGGATAGTGCATAACAACGTAATTCAGATGTTACAAAGAAAAACATTATACCTAATCCAGAAAACGTTGAAAGTTTCTCAAAACAATTGCATAAATTATAAAGGCAAGTATTCGGATGGTATCTTAAAGTGCATGAAAAACCAAAAAAATAAAACATATGATTTTCTGAGAGATATTTTTTCTAAGAATGCAATACGATTGCCATTCCCCTTTTCTACATTAGCACATAAAAAATTGCCATGCTAAGTTTCTGAAATAAAAAAATGGGATGGACTAAGAGAATCTGATGGTCAAAAAATGAGACCACACAACCACTGGGTGCCATTCAATTAGTATTTAATAAAATTTGATCAGTCTTTTCAGTAGCTTGAAGTGAAACTAGACGTTCATATTTTACATGGCCCTAAGAGAGCCGGAAACCTCTAGTTCTCTCAATAGCAACATCCTTTGGGTTGTCCCATAACAACCCGGTTTTCTGTCATCATCCTTCAGAACACACATTATCTTTCAACAGTAAATCCAATTCGAATTAAGACTTATTCGCCTTCGAACACACAGCCCGGTTCTTTTCCCCCATTAATCCACTCACGACATACTCGATAACAAGGGCTGAACCCAACTTCCTTCCAGTGCATCTGCTTCCTCAACAAGCAAACTGTAAATCGAACTCGAAAACCCTTTCTACTTTTCCCTGCCTCTTCATCGTCCTAGCCAAGTGTAATTGTACTCACCCCAGAAAAGATCACTACGGATGAGAGCATACAAGAAACAAGAAAATTAAACAAGATAAACAGCCAAGACGAATTCTCGCATCCCGAACAAATTCGGAATTAAAACCCTAGCTTCCCGTACCCGTAAATTCTTCTATTCTCCATGTCGACTGAGATGCATAGTTTCTGGTGAAGGACGACTCCTCCGGAACTCTCCGGTTTCTGCTCGTCGCTTTTCTGCTTTCTGGGCTTCGCCATGAAAATAAAATTTTGATCTTCCCGAGCTTCCCCCGCTCTGTTGTTTCTTTCGGCCAAAACTCCTCTTCATTTATAGCGTGGCCCTTCCGGTCCGAGGCGAAGTCCCCAAATGCTGGTCAAGATATTTTAATGTGGGCTCGCGGTGATTTTAAATCCGCTGAAAATTAGTCAATTATATGCTTTTTAAAATATTGAGAATAATACTTTCTCTCATTTATTTATTATTGTCATTTAATCATTTCTTCTTTTTTTTGTGTGTTTAAAATTTACATTCATGATATAGAGGTGTAAACGGGTCAAAGATAGAGGTATAACGGGTCAATTCGAGTTCGAGCCGCTTTCGGCTGGAGCTTGGCTTGATTAACTCTATTGACTCGAGTTTGAGCTCAAGCTTAAGTTTATGAGTTTGAGCTAGCTCACGAGGCGGCTAGTTTATTATAAAAATAAATAAATAATATTAATTTAAGACAATCTTATAATAAAATGATAAATTGAATGAACAATTATAAGAGAAATAATAAGAAATCAATTAATATAAAATACAACATATTTTTATTTAAATTTGTAAATCTTTAAAAATAAGTTCTTCAAATTTAATATATTTAGAGTACATTTTATATTAAAAAATTTTAAATGAGCTAGGTCACGAGCTAACGAATCCGAGTGAGAGCTAGCTTGAGCATGGCTTGTTAGCTCGTCAAGCCCAGGTCAAGACCCTCTCATCAAGTCAAGCTCGAGCCAACTCATGGATCGGCTTGACTCACTTACACCCCTACCCATGGGTAACATAATGATATTGCTATCAAAAAAAAAAAAATTTATAACTCAGATAAATACATATTATTTGTGAAAATAAATGGACATTAGGCCTTTCAAAGAAGAAAGTAGTTATTTTGATATTAGTTTAAATTTCGCATTTCTTTATTCCACTAAAAAAGCATAAATTTGATATGCAAACCTAAGTTTCTTGACAATTTACATACCATTACTTCATATAATATGTGCCATGAAAATCTCTTTAATTGCAATTTTTTTCTTTTTTTTACAAGAAAATGGGTGTGGGAAAAAATATTGTGTTCAGACAACGAACGCTCTACATCCGAAGGGGAAAAAAATTTTGGGTGTATCGCGTCTGTTGTATAGACGCAGCTTGTGTCCAGACTCCGGACGTCATATTGTATCATGAATGGAGAAACTTGACATTTCAAGAGAGTTCATTATTTATTCTTATAAAGTTAGCCACTCTTGTCCTATGCTATTACTTCATGGTTACTATGAGTATTCAAGATGATGAAATTGCATCATTTGCCCTGTTTGCTACATAATGTTTTGGCTGGTATTGATTTAATTCTCTTTATTGGATATTAACATATGGAAGGTTGGAATTTGCCAATAATTATTCATTTATGCCTTCAATATGTTTCTACTGTATTCATTACTAGTGTTTGGCTTTGATTTGCTAGATGAGCTGGGCTGTATGCTTGTTGTGGGTGTGTACTTTTTTAGAGTTACTTTTGCATTTTCTTTTGTTGGATAATTATGAAATTGATCCTCATTACTTTTGGAATATTATTTGACTCATTGAATCTGAAATGAGGAATTTTTTGTATACATTAAATCTAAAATTTCAAGAATGTATTTGGAGGTTAAATTGATCAACTCGAGGTAATATGAAATTTTGGATTTGAAAGATCGTCTTTATGCTGAATTATTATATGTTAGTTTGTGATTTGCACAACTTCTAAATGGAAAAGCATCATGTTTTTGCTTCATTTGCTTCGTTGGGTATGCTCATTGCACTTGCGGGCATACTTGTTGCGAACATGTTGTTGAGCTACCAAAACACTTATTATGATGAATAATCTCTCTTTTTTGTTGTATTGGGATTCTAGTCATAAGTTGCATTCACTATTATGATGAATAATCTCTCTTTTTTGTTGTATTGTAAGTTGCATTCATTGAAACTTTCATGCTGCGCTTGATGCTAACCATTTTTTTATGATATGTATGCAAGGGAGTTTGCTTATCAAATTTATCATATTAGGCTTTTCCAAGTGTTGTTGAAATGTAACCTCAGTTTTTTTTTTTATTGCTTTGTTGTGGATCCTTCTTTGTTGACGCTGTAACACCTAAAATTTTGAGAAATCATATAGAGATTTTGGCAGTTTAGAATGTAGTTAGATTTTGCATCCCCCAAAATTTAATAGAAATAATTTTATAAAATTCTACTCATCCAAGCGATCAATTCAATATAGAATGTTATTTATGAATTTTTAATAGAAAGGGAGAGATAAAATTTTGAAGTTATAAGTTTAATTAATTTAATCATAAGGGTTAGGGAAAACAATTTATAAAGAATAAAATTTTGAATAAACATAATTATTAAGATTGATCTCAGCCAACCTACCTGCACCTTACTCGACATGCTATGTCTTAGTCCAACTGAACAATTAAGATTAAAGGGGATCATCATAAGTGACACGTTCACTCCCCCTCTCCCTATTCTTAAGCTCGACAGAATGTTCTAAAGCTCGACAGAAGGATCCTGCAAGTTCTGCGATCGGGCCACTGTAGCACAGACCTGAATGACACAGTCGCATGACTCGCATAGTGCGACAGAAGGCAATCTGAGGCTCTGGGACAAAATCGGGGAGTAGAAAACCTTTTTTCATGTTATTTAAGACATTGATTTTCTTCCTTACACTTTATTTTGTCACATGTCCCAACCTTTTCATTTACGGTAGCTATAATGAAGACGAACTTGTGTTGGAAGCGACGAACTTCATTTGTGGGCTTTAGTTAGCAAGAAATCAACAAAGTGCTTGGAGCAAGAGGGAAGAAGAATAGATTGTCTCGGAGAAGGGTTGGTTATGTCGAAAAGCCCTTTTGAAGTAAGAAGTTGTAAATGAATTATTTTATGGTTAAATCACGAAATGCGCTAAGATTTCATGAAATCCTAAAATATTTACGAATCTCATCAGGTTGTTTACACTAGGTTGCAAGCTCAAGACAAGCTCAGGGAAACTCATCATAGAGTTGTTTCATCAATTCAGTTAAAATAATCATGCGCTAACTTAAAAAAATTAATTGTCTGTAAGTTTTCATGTGATTCCAAACTTAAAACCATTGCATTTAGAATTCCTTGCATATTGTGGATGAATATTTACATGGCTTAATAAATGTAAATTGATTGTCGCTTAGATGGATAAGATTTTACTATACTATGTATCTAATTAATATGTTTATGAAATCATTACCTACATGTATCATTTATTATGATTCATGCATATGATATATAAAATGTTTATGATGAATGTTTATTACTGAAATTATATTTTAAGAAATATCATCAGTGATATTATAGGTAAGCTATTATATGAATATTTGTAAGTATAGATGATGGCAAACGATATGATTTTTGATTCTTGGTATTCCTATGGTATCAAAACTATGGGAACAATAGGATCAGACGATGATGAAATGTAGGAAATCATATGTACCATAGGAGTTGTTGATAAGTGCTATGTTGTGGGTTTAACTGTTATTAATAGCAAATGTAGTATTCGGGTTGGGTGGCGACCCAATGACATGACATGACAAAAAATAATTGAGTCATATACAATTATCAGTGATATTTCTATAATTAGATTGATAACTTTTATGAATATGTTTATGATTGTGTGCTTATGATTACACGTAGATGTATGAAATATATATGTTATACAGTAGGAATGGTTCATTGCCTTTTATGTTCTTCTTTTCATGTTTTATACATTTAAAATATGTTGTGTTATGGTTTGTGGACATATACATGGATTACATACAAGCATACATGTTTTTTTTTTCGTTTATAAAATTTTATTTTATATTATTTTGATAAGTTATTTATTGACTTACAGGAAGGGGTAAGAAGCACTAGAGCGAGTATTCAATTGTGACTTGCACAACTCTCGTATCTCATATTTTTTTGGAGCTTATACAAACTTTTGGGTATTTATTTTATTTATATTAAATTTAGTGGCTCTGTATTGATATATATATGTCTTGATGCTAAGATTTTCACGCTTCCAAACATATGTGAATGTAAATGAATTACAAAATAAAACACTTAACAATTTAGTTAGACTAGTTCATCACTCATCAGGTCTCATTTCTACATGCTAAAGACAATCATTATTCAAAATTTTGTCTGCCCGGATAATCCATTTTTGTTGCAACTCAGCCAACTCTTAAGGGAGGTTAGTTGGGATGTGACAGTCGCTTAGCTTTTCATATGGCTTGTTGAAAAGGAAGATTGATGGATTATCTTTGGCTTTTGAAAAATACAGCCTTGTAGGTTTTATATATGCATTTTTATTAGTCTCTTAGAAAAGTAATAAGGAAAACTCACATTTTTTCATACTTTAGGAATTCAATCCGGCAATTTCACAACTTATCCAATGTTTTTTTTTCATTATCTTACTGATATTCTTTCAACTATCTCTGGCCAAAGCCCCCAAACGATGGGATGCGTCTTAAAGGTAATTTTTAAGCTCCATATTGTCATATTTTAATGTATTATACTATTTTTCATCCCTTTTATTTTTCCTTTCAACAATTTTCACCTTTTATTTCTTATGAAAATTATTGTATAATCCAATTTCAAGAAGTAATGATAATGGCTCGATGTGAGCCTCAACTTTCTCGAATAAAATCATATGGACAAAACATCCAGTTACTTAAGAAAATATTATTAAGAGGCATTTACATACACAACACACAATTCTTAAATTACTTAAATTCTGCTCCTAAACAGCCCCAAAACATCCCCAAATCAACCCATGTAATCAAATTTAATTTAACATAAATGCAGCACTATTCAATAAGAAAATACATGCTCAAATATTCAACATAATCATATATAAATAAAATGAAAAATATCTCCGCTAATCTTCCTTCTATGTTGTCCTCCCCCTCCTCCAATGGAGGCTTCCTTCGCTGCTTCGCCCGATGTTATAATGCATCTAACTTGACCTTCAACTTGGTCTCCATATTTGCCTCCAGCTCCGACCCCATCTGAGCGAAGCTGTAATTCATCGCGGTAGTGGATATGAAAGCACACC